GTTCACACACAAATATTAAAGGCCCCGAAAATATATATATATATATATATATATATATATATATATATATATTTCATTCCTTGATTGTTTCGTTAAAAAAAAAAAAAAAAAAAAAAAAAAAACCGTAAAAAACAAGAATACAAAGAACTGCCAACCAACCCCCCCCCCCGCCCAAAAGAAAAACTTTTTTTTAAATGTGTTTTTTTTGAATTTCTCTTCTCCACCTTTTCTGTTTATTGTTTTTTATAATTCGAAAAACTTTTCTGTTTCCAAAAAAAAATTAATGGGGTTGTAGGGATTAAAAATCCCTACAACCCCTTTTTTTTCCCCTTTTTTACCAACATTTAATTCAGGAAAAATATGGTAAATTCGTGTCCGCAGGGCGGACGAGGTCGGCCGCGGACGCGGCCCTATATACGGCCGCCATCCGAGCTCGACCCCGCGGACGCTTCTCGCGGGTGTTTCATAGCTGGTCATGCAAGCGTTCAGGCCAAAAAAGTTTTAGTTTTTAAGTATATTTAAGTCTCTAATTTTAGGTCTTCAATAAGGTTTTATTTTCGCAGTGCTATTAATTTGTGGGTTATGTGTTGAGTCTGTCAACATGTAGCTAGCAGCCGCTATGGACTTGTTAGGAGTTGGACTGTCGAACCTTCCCCAACCCATATCGGATGAGGAGAAACCACGTTTTAGGGACATTCTATCCCTGTGTTACACTGATGAAGTTCTCCCTAAGAAACTACGTCCCAACACAGTCAAATTAGGAGAGGACTACGTCTGGGTTACAAAGAATCATGAATTCTGCGGAATCCAAGAAGAATGGCATGCGGTCACTATTCTCTTTGGAGATGAGTCAATAACTCTACCAACAAATATAAAAGAACGAATATTACGCGTCTATGAGAATGGTTGGGCTACAAAAGGGCAGATTTTTGTCCCCCCAATAAGAGGTCTGTTTCACATTTAGGGGAGGAATCTGATAACCTACGTAGCCTCGGACAAAGAGATAGAGACATGGATGCTCCGAGTAGGTCAAACGAAGGCGGAACTGGATAATAAAACGTATACACTCTCCTCCCAGCCATGGATGACAGAACAGGAGTCTTGGGATTGGTGCGAGGTCTCTAAGCATAGATTCCTTTGGAGACGTTGCCAGCAGGTCCCCGTCGCTGCCCTTGCCGCTCTGTATGGTGCAGTGGAAGACGCCTTCAGGAAAGTGATAATGGAATTTCCGGTTTACTCAAGTGGGCCGCGATCTTCGAGTAACCTTTTATGAAGCATTGATAGTAGTCGGCAAGACGGATGAACGAGCGGATATCCGTGACGTTCCGAGGCTCCGACCACTCTTGGATGGCCTGAATCTTATCCGATAGCGGACTGATGCCCTCCGGTGTGACAAAATGGCCCAAGTATTCGAGCTCTTGCTGGACAAATTCACACTTGTCGCGGTTGGCCTTGTACTTGGCGCGGCGGAGCATCTCCAACATTCGTCGACGATGCCCAAGATGATCCTCCAATGACCGTCTATAGATGAGAATATTGTCTTGGTAGACCAGCACGAACCGGTCTAACATTGCACGGAATTCATTGGTCATTGCCGCCTGAAAGGTCGTTGGGGCGTTGGTGAGGCCAAAATGCATGACCACCCACTCAAAATGCCCGTACCGCGTCTTGAACGCGGTCTTGTAGCGATCGTTTGGCTGGGTCGAGATTTGATGATATCCCAATTTCAAATCCAACTTAGAAAAATATTTTGCGCCGCCCAATCGCTCAAGAAGATCGTCGATGCGAGGAAGAGGCCCCACATTCTTGACGGTTTGCGCGTTGAGCTTGCGGTAGTCAATACACAGTCGTAGATCCTTGTTCTTCTTCCTCACGAAGAGAACTGGTGCTCCATATGGAGAGCTACTAGGGCGGATCCAACCCTTGACCAACAAATCGTCGAGTTGTGCGCGGAGGACCTCAAGCCCCTCCTCGCTCATCCAATAGATGCAACCTTTCGGCGGCACGGCACCGGCCTCAAGGATGATCTCGTGAGAGATTGGCCAATCCGGCACCACACCAGTAGAAGGCTCGAAGATGTCGGCGAACTCGTCCAGCAACCACACTACACGGGGGTCCGAAGACAAGTCCGTGGGTGAAGAATCAACTACTGCGACGGTCCGTAGGAAACATAGCCCCATCTCCTCGGGCTGCTCGTAAGTGCAAGTCGCCCGGAATGATTTGGCCGTCACCACTTGGCACCGGATCGAAGGGTGCGGTAGAGCAATAGTACACGCCACTTCCCCGCCGAAGGCGTCGCAAACGCTAAGAGTCCGCCGATGAAATTTAACTGTGTGATCCGCACTTGCAAGCCAAGGCATTCCCAGAATGATGTCGAAGTCCGTGTCGAGAATATCGAATATCACTGGTTCGCATGCATGAGGTGCGAAGTAGACCGGTACGGCCTCGATGTAATTGTCGAGAAGTTGTTGCGTTTTTCCATCCACCAACTTGATCGCCGTCGGGTTTGCCTTCCTCCGAACTAGTGCGGCAAGGCCAGCCTTTTGCATAAAGGACTGACTCATGAAATTGCAAGACGCGCCTCTATCCAGCAAAGCGCTGCAGGACGCTTGCCCAACCTGAATGCGGACATACATGAGCGGTGCGTTGTTGTCATCGTACTGCTGAGTGAGAAACTCGCGGGCCACCTTGGTAGTATACGCAAGGATGTCCCCCACCGCGACTTCGTCATCCGTCGGCGAAGTTGGTGGTGCATAGAAGGATAAGTAAGTGTGGAGATGCGTGCTAAGTGCTGCGCATTGTGGTCCCGGCAAGCGGCCTACGGTGAGGAGAGGAAGCCATGCAAAGTCCTCGGACGTGAGCAGGTCCAATGCCTCTATGTTGAACTCGTGTGCCGAATCCCGTGAAGAACCACTTGAAGACGATATGTCGCTGTTGGCGGACGGAGAAGAAACCGCACACACTTCTTGTCCTTGAGCTTGAGTACCCAGCGTAGGAACGAGCCGGACAACATAGTCCTCAAAAGAAAGTAGAAAAGGAGGATTATCGACTTCCGCGTGCGCCTCAGAATGAAGGCCAGTTACTCGCGAAGAAACCGGTTCCGAAGTCGTCGAGAGTGTCGCCGAGTCACTCTTGGCGGTGCTCAGTTTTCATGTCTGCCCTTGCCTTTTAATGGGCAAACCTGCGTCTGATGAAGGTCGTTGTTGCACCAAAGGCAATAGTGGAATCTCTCGCGCGCTTTGAATGTTTGCTTCGGAGATGCCATATTAGGACCATGGGCCTGTCTGAGCTGCTGCACCGGGCCCGGGGCTAGATGCGTGTGTGTCTTCGTCTTGCCACGTCCTCGGCCTCTTCCGGGGCGGCCACCTTCCCGGGCGGCTGCGAGTCTGTCCCCTTCACTGGCAGACACAACCTCGCTGGTTTGGTCAAACGGCGTTGCCGCTGCGACTACGGCCACTTTTGGCCGATGTTGGTCCCTACTCGGGCCTGACGTAGATGAACGGAGGTTCTTGGCCTCCTTGTTCGTGATGATGATCTGCGTGGCCTTATCAAACAATTCCGCCGTCGTCGTCAAGGTGTCCTCAACATGCGTCAGGGCATTGCTTAATGCCGGACATAACCTTAAGATGAAGTACTAGTGGATGGCCATGAAGCCCATCTGGATGTCGGGGACTGACGTCAAGCGTTGGTACTCAGCAATCCAGTCCGTACTCGGCAGCGTGCCTTGCTCGAAGACCATAAGCTTGTCCATGACTTTGATCTCCGGCGGCTCCACCTGGAACCGCTTGTGCCACGCCGCCTTCAGATCATCCCAACTGATGTTGGTGTGTAAGTCGTTGGCTACCACGCTATACTTGGACAACAGGTTGTCCAACCAAGCCTGGCACGCGCCCCCTGAGCTAGAGTACAAGTATGTGTGGTGCTTGTGTTCCTTGACGTTGTGGAGCTGCAGCGTGAGCTCGAACTTGCGAAACCATGGAACCGGATTTGTCTTCATTGAGTCGCAGAAGATCTCCTGCCCGTCGAACTTTGGAGCTATCTCGCGCGGTTCCGAACTCGAGATGGCAATAACATAGGTGGGGAGGGGTGTGTGGGATAATTGTCCAACTAATCACTCAGATAAGGAGCCACTAAAAAAAAAAAAAAAGTTTGAACTTTGCATAAAAATTTCGAGAAGAACAAAAATCCCGATTTTTGCAAGTTCGGTAGGTCTCCCAACCTCCCCTGAAGTACGAAATGCTCATTGATAGAGAAAAAAAAAAAATTCAACTTCAGATTCCAAATGGTTTATAGAACTGAACGACAGAATCCTAGAACTGCGAAAAAAATTTCGGAGAGAACTGACAAGTATTCGGAATTTATTCAGAGAAGATTCGCAGTTTGAAAAATAATACCGCAGGAGGGATTTCCCATACCGTTTTCATAAAAACGAATTTCGGAAAAGAAGATATTCTGAATTTCTGAGTAACGGGAAATGCAACAAGAAATCAAAATTTTCAAAAAGAAAAATATTTCGGATTTCCAACAACGAAATCTCAAAATTTCAGAAAAAAACGAAAATGGGAATTTCAGATGTTGCGATATTGGGATTTTCCACAACAGAATAGCGAGAAAACAAAATCCAAGAAAAAAAAAAAAAAATCGATTTTCGGTAGTAAGGTTAAAATCGTGATTTTGGGGTCTAACTAGTGTGCTCTAATTAATCAATAAAGACTAACTAGCTATTTAGTCCCCGCACATGTGTCAGATCAGGTTGTCCCGATTCACGTGCGATGCTCCGATACCAACTGTTACATGCACAAATATGCAATGTACGTAATAACCGAGGATCTGCAATGTGATGAAAAGGACTGAATGGACAAATGCGGTGCGAATAGAATCTCGACAAGCAATGTTCATTCTTATAAATACATAATGGTGCCGAATAGCACAGGGAAGACTTAAATACAAAAACTGGTTTGACGGGGACTGACCTCATTCACGTAGTACAAAGTAGCAAAGCAGAATGCTAGAATGCTAATAACTGGCCCAATCAATGTTTGAACTCAGACCAAACATACATCGTATCCCTCACCAGGTGTGAACGAGCCTGACGCTATACGCAGGAAGAAAGCGCCAGGTTTAGACATACACAGACGAAGAGGAAGGAATCAGACGAAAGGAGGGAGAGAGATGGGAATGTCGTCCACAGCAAGTCTTTGTCACCAATCCCAAATAATCCCTCGTTGCCATGTCTGAAGTCCCAAAAGTCGAGTCTGGATCCGATGTCACCAAGCTCTGTTTCTCTTCTCTCGTAGTCTGTAGATGTAGTGAAGTCAGATGTTGAGAGGGGGAGAAGGAGATGGTGGATTGAGAAGAGGAAGAAGAAGAACTCTCTCTCACTATTACGAGCCAGATACTGACTTGTGCTGTTGGCGTTGTGCTGCAGGTACCTCGAAGACGAAGCTGGAGCAACGGCGCTGCAGGTAAGTACCTCTGGCCTCCGCCCAATCTCCCTCTCTCTCTAGTGCTATCCTACCTATGGCGCCCCGCGCTCGAGACTACAACTACCTACTGCGCCCAGCGCTGAAGACTACAAGTGAACGCTACTACTACTCTGCAACACTCCCTCTAGAGTGCTGCTCCCGAATCCTGAAAACGACAACTGCCTCCTGCCTGCTTGTGAAGTGCATGAGAAGTCCCTATGTACTTCCTCGGCCTGCCCCCTGACTGCTGAAGGGCGAGCCAGGCCGAGGAGGCAACTCTTGCCAATGCCGAAGTGTGCTAGGGGCTGACGTGCAGCAGCCTGCTGAGGCAAGTGTGGGGAACAGGCTAAGAATAGCCTGTTTCGAAACCCTGGTTCGGTGTTGAGTTTCAGGGCTGGTCGTTCTGATAAACGACCGAAAATGGGCATTCGTTTCAGGTTAAAAAGGTTGTTGCCGTTTCTAGTCTGAAACGACATAGTGCAATCAGACTCGTTCTCAAACATACTTTTCATACATGTAAACAGCAACGCAGCAACTGGCGACATGCGCCCACACATAATTCGGAGATATGGCTTCTAGATACCAGTTCACTCTTGACTTGCTATAGCGACTTCAGCGTCCAACAACTCACTGCTTACACACGCCGGATCACCCTGGATATCCCAGACACGTCACTCCGAACACTCGAACACACACACGCACACTTCCTACTTACTACAACTATGGCAGCGATGGCTGCCTCTAACCTATCGCTATACTAAGTCTTCTCCTCTCGCCCACTGCGTCCTCCGGGCTCATCTGCAGAACTTCTTGCACAAGTCGCTGTGGCAGCGCTTCCGCATGGTTCACGCAAGAATGAATGAAAGGTTGGGCGCTGCCTCTTGATTTATACTTTAGAAATTCGTTGGTCCACCCTTTGCCATCGACCCATGCAACATAAAAATTCCCACGAGAAATGAAAGTTGAAAAAACATTCCATAAAAAAAAAATCCTTTCTATTTATGAATTATCATTCCAATGTTCGTCCAATTCTAAAATTTTCAGTTTTATTTGATAAATTCCCGTCTAAATATGAGTTTTCCCTTCCAACTACATTTAGTAGTTCAAGATGGAATGGTAGTCTGGACGAGTTTATGAAATGTTTTAATTAAATTTTCATTTCACTACAACAAATATCGTCTAATTTAAATTAGATTAACTTATTTATAACTGAAAATCCTTAATTCGAATTACAGTCCAATTAAAATATTTCATGAACTCATCCAGACTTTCATTCCATCTCTAGCATGCAGTCCAAATAAGAAGGGATACCCTATTACTGGAATGAAAGTTTGCAAGTAAGATGAAAATTTTTAAAAGTGGAATGACATTTTTTAAGATGGAATGAAAATTTGAAATTTAGATTGTAATTTTACTATAGAATGATTATTTAATTCCGAAACATTTTTCCGTTGTGGTGCTCACAGTCCCCCCGTGGTACTTGCTGGACCGGACAGGGACTGACAGGACCTTCCGCAGACTCAAAGTGGACTCACCGCTATCCTACCAACGTTGTACTGCTGTTGCACTGCAGTTTAGTCCACCACTTGCCTCGCCACTTGGCCACTTGCCCATTTGCTACCTTCTAGAAGGTCTACAACTAAGCTTCTAGAACTCACTAAGATTTCTACGGTATAGACCTACAGATCGAACCCCTGCTACCTATAGACCTACGACAGACCTAGCAACTGTCTACGAATACACAGGTCACATGTTCAATTCTCGGGATCTATACAAATACTGTACATAGGTAGGGTGAGGTCTAGGGATCGAACCCTGGGTACTGCGTCTGCTTCTGCTAAAAGGTGAAAACCGTTTTACTCTCGCCGTCCTAAATTCGAGGTCCTCCGAGAACATTTAAGTCCAAGGTGGGACTTTTACCTTTCTTGTCACGCTTATAGGCTCTGACTATGTCGGGAGCGGTCTCTAGAAGTTCTGTTTTCGTGAACCAGCGGTCGTCTTCCGGTTCCTGATAGGCAAAACGGACCTTATACTGTTTCTGGGGACGACCTCTACCTCCTGTTCTGAACACATCCTCATCTATAATGTCGTCAATGTCATAACTTCCATCCATATCCGGGGGGATCATGGATCTTCTCGAAGGGAACTGTTGACTTGTGACACACGGCAGCAGCTTTGAAGCATGAAACACAGGGTATGTGTGGAGGTGTGCTGGAATCTCAATGCTATAGGACGGTCCATCCTCTCCGTCCTTGACTTCTAGAACCAGCCACGGTCCTCTATATGCAGGCAGTAACTTCTGCGAGATGTTTTCCTCAGGTGCAAACTCTTTAGCCTTTACCCAGACTAAGTCGCCTACCTGAAACTGCGACGGGCAGCGGTGCTTATTAGCTTGCTCTATCATCCTATGCTGGGCCTTTCTAAGGTTTTCAACAATAGTTGCTAGTTCTTTCTCGTGCTGTATCGCAAAATCCATTGTGTCGGGCAGTAGTCTATAAATCTGATCTCGGTTCTGCCCTTCGAACGGTCTGCATGGTCTAAAGGACTTATGCAACTCATTCGGAGTTCGGCAGGTGGATAGATGCACGTTGTTGTTGTATGCACTAGCTACCTTAGGCAACATCTCATCCCAGTTTATCTGATCGGGTCCAATGTACATGCGCGGAACTTGTTGTAGGATCTTGTTGATCTCTTCTGTCTCACCGTTTGTCTCTTGATGTCAGCCAGATGACATTAACAACTTAGATCCGTACACTCGCATGAGTTATTGTCAGTTCTGGCTGGTGAAGCGACTATCTCTATCGCTGACTATTGACAATGGGATGTCATTCTCACTAACCCAAAAGTCAACGAACTTCTGTATCACTAAATCTGTATGTACCTCTGCAGGCAAAGGAACAAAAACTGCATACTTACTAAATCGGTCAACTATGACCATGACTTGGCTTTTGCCATATCTGCTTTTGACTTGGGTGTCCATGAAGTCTATGGACACTGAGTCTCTCGGCTGATCCGTAATAGGCAAGGGTCTGAGAAGACCTAGGGGCGCGCGTGTAGTAGACTTATTCCTCTAGCATACTTTACAACTGCGGACATACTCTATGCAGTCATTCTTCATCCCTGGCCAGGTATACGCACGCATCAGATTGGCTAATGTATTTTGCCAACCAAAATGTCCCTAAGTATCGTGACATTCCCCTAAAATCAGACTGCGGATCTCTTCGCTATAAGGAACGCACAGGCGGTCAAAGACATTAGTCTTCTCAAACAGCAATGCATCTGTAGAGCGATAATCTGGCTTGGTCTCTGGGTCCTCTCTAACCTTCATTAGGAGGTCGCTGTAGATAGGGTCCTGCGCATACGCTTGCTTGACTTTCTCCTGCAGGTCTCTCCCTATATCCAGATAGTGTACTATAGCTCCAAAGTAGTCTGCTCTCCTACTCAGGGCATCCGCAAATAAATTGTACTTGCCTTTCACTTGCTTAAGCTCAAAGTCATATTGATCTATCTCTGCGGCCCACCTAGTTAGCTTAGGTGTCATGATCAGAATACACTTTGAAGTGTCTCCCAAGGAGGTAATGCTTCCAGTGGTCTAAGGCCTGCCTGAGAGCATAGAGTTCTCTCTCGTACGCCGAGGTGGCTACCTTCTCTGAGGGCATCCTCGCGGACATGAACTCTATGGGTCTATAGCCATGGCCGTAATCCTGCTGCAACACGACGCCTATCCCATACTGACTTGCGTCCGTGGTGACGACAAATGGCAAGGACGGATCTGCAACTTTGAGGACAGGGTACTCTATTAACGCGCGTTTTAACTTCTTGAGCGCAGACGTACAGTCYTTGTCCCATTGCCAGATTGCCTCTTTCTTTAGCAATCGGCGCAAGGTAGCGGCGATAGTGGAGAAGTTCCTCATGAACTTTCTATAGTAGTTAGCTAAGCCTAGGAACGACCGCAACTCTGTCAATGTGCGGGGCGTCGGCCAGTCTCTAATCGCCGCTCTTTTGCTGTCCTCTGGCTTAATGCCATCTCCGTCCAGCACGTGACCCAAGTACAAGACTTGTGTTTTGGCCCACTCACACGTCTTTGCGTTGATCTTGAAGTTAGCCTCTCGTAGGCTCGTAGCTTCTCCAAAACCTGCCTCAGATGACCCTGGTGCTCCTGGAGGGTCTTACTGAAAACTAAGATATCATCTAGATAGACTACTACAAACTTATCTAACCACGGTCTAAACAGGTCATTCATACAATGCTGAAAAGTAGTTGGCGCGTTGGTTAGTCCAAAGGGCATCACTATGAACTCATAGTGCCCGTATCTAGTCCGGAACGCAGTCTTGTACTGGTCATCAGGATGAACCTCTATCTGCTGGTATCCGGATTTTAAGCCTATCTTAGAGAAATACTTGCAACTCTGCACCCGRTCTAAAAGATCGTCTATCCTGGGCAGCGACTCGACATTCTTCACGGTAATTGCATTCAACCCCCTATAGTCTATGCACATATGAAGCTCTCCTTCCTTCTTGGGGACAAACAAGACTGGTGCTCCRAAAGGAGACGAATTGGGCCTGATCCAACCCTTCTCCAGGTGCTCATCTAACTGCTTGCACAACTCCTCTAACTCTCTAAGGGACATTCTGTAGACTGCACCCTTAGGAGTTCTACTGACAGACTCTATCTCTTTCCTGCGCCTGTTGGGTCGCGAGACTACTCCTGTTGGCGACTCAGTCAAATCCTTGAATTCTTCCAGCAACTTGGCAATTGTTGGATCCGTGGAACTATCCTCTTTCTTAGCCTCAGTGACAGGTCTAACATAAACTACAAAGACTTGTTCCTCTAACTGCTCCTTTTTGACTAATCGCGCGAACGTGGGAGCACTGAGACAGCAATGTGCCAAGGTGTTGTCTACACCAGACACATGGAACAAGCAGGCAGTCTTAACCTCGCCTGACGGACTAGGGATCCTACACTCATGCTCTCTCAAATGGAGTATGGCCCCTGCTGCCTCTCCCCAATCAATTCCTAAAACTACATCAAAAGGACGATCATCCTATACGAGGAGAGTCAAGGAATGAAGAATTTCTCCACTTTCCCATTCTTCTCTAGGCGAAAGTACGCCTGGACTCCCTCTATGTAGTCCTCAACTCGCATCGTGCGGTTGTCTGTGAGGACACTGACTATGGGGTCTACTAACTTTTGGACCTTTAGTCATAACCTCAACTTCTTCAGTGCCCTACGGCTAATATAACTACGGGTGATCCCTGAGTATATAAGGACCCCGACTCTACTTCTAAACACCTCTTCATCCACTAAGATCAACTGTCCTTTACTCTCCTTTTTCATTTTGGCCCAGGCTGGCATCCTCTCCTTTAATTCTTCTGCCACACCTGTGAGGGACGTGCCTAAAGAAACGCTAACACAAGCGGTCTCTGGACAGCTATCTAGGCACGGGCCTGCAACCTTTGCCATAGACTCATGTGGGTTAGGAGTGTCCTGTTCGCGCGCGCTCGCTTCTCCACATGGCATTGAAGTTGGGGCAGTTGCGACCCCTACTGGCGGCTGCCTTTTGACGATTGAGCAGCCCAACGGGCCTGTCTGTACTTAGGACAAAATTTAATGACATGGGCCAGGTCACCACAGAATATGCATTGACCCTGGTCCACGCATTCCTGCCATATGCGCTGGTCCAAGCCCAAATCTTCCCAGGGCCTGCCTTGTGGCAAGCCTGGGTGCCAACCTCCCTGAGGTGCCCTTCCACCTCTTCGCTGTGGGGACCGATTACCCTGGCGATTTGGCGGGAGACCTTGACCCCTACCTCCCACTTGGCGGTTTCCTTGTCCGCCAACCCCCTGTGCGCCCGGTCCACGGCCTCCCATGGCCTGGCCCCTTTGACCCTGGCCTCCTCCCCTACCTTGTGGCCTCCCTCCAGCCGCGACAGCAGCATAGGACCTCCCTCGCCCCACACTACTATCATCATCCTCAAGGCCCCACTCTATTTGACTGTATGGGACCTCATTACTATCACCTTCCTCTAACGTGAGGATCATGTGATCCTTGGCCTTGACTTGGCCAGAGATGGTACACCCTTTCCACTTTTTTCCCTTATCCAAGTCCTTGTGCCTGAAAGTGGTAACTGGCATGGACTTCGACTCATACAGGATGACCTCTCTACTCAGCGAATCATAAGTGATGCCGGCCTGTTGAGATTTGTCAAAGAAGTGCCCACGCAGGGCCTCTGGTATGGCGCGATAAAATAATTGGACCAATTGGGTCTCGATGACCCCATGGTCTGGGACGGCTACCAAGTCGTTCATGGTGCCCTTGAGTGCCCTTGAGTGCCCTGATACTCCTCCACTTTCGTGAGTGGATCGTTTGTAGCTTGTCAGAGGCGTATACGCCTCTCGTTCGGTCCGCAAATCGCTCCTTCAGGAGCTTGAGGAATTGAGGAAGGGGGGTGACTTTGGAAGTTTGGAGTAAACAACCAGGTTGTTTTCACAACCGGTTGCGTGCGCGAGGGACCTAGCGAAACTAGCCGCTTCATCCTTGAGGGCCTGGAAGGCCACGAGGACTTGCTCCTCTGCCAGGATGTGCTGTAGATAGATGTAACTGTTGACACTGGCTTCCTAGTTGTCAAAGTTTTCTTCCTTCTTTCCCCCGTACGCATCTGGGAACTTAAGCTTCACTGGGTCCTTACGGGCTTTGGCCTCGCCCACTACTGCGGCTATAGCTTTGACACCCTCAATAGCGCCTTCACAGAACTTTCCCACGCTATCTCTCAATCTCCTAACTTCCCCTCCAACGTGGATAACCATGTCACGCGCAAAGTCCCTAAATCTTGACCGCATGGCACCCAGGGCTACCTCTTGACTCCAACTGGCCTGGCGCTTCTCCATCCAGGATGCACTCAATACTTCCAGGTAACCCAACATTTTATCCATCTTGGCAGAAACATCTGCCTGTGCCCCCACTTCTCGCCTACAATCCTGCACTTTTGCCACTTCCGCGGTCAACCTGTTAACTTCCTCCCTCCTCTTCTTCCTTTCTCTCTTCATCCTCAGCTTCCACTCCAATTTCTTCTCCTTCTCTCTTTCCCTTCATTCCAGAGGATCCTCCATCGCGGCTAGCTCGCTGGCCAGCGCATCCCTCTCATCCTTTGGGACATAGAACTCGGTCTCCTCATCTTCGCCCAACCATAAATTAGCGATCCACTCACTTGTGTTTTTCTCCATCTCTACTTCTTCTTTCATCGCGCCACTGCTCTCTACTTCCTTTCCCTTTCGTTTTTTCTCCTCCTCTACTTTTGCTGCCGCTTCTTCTTCAGCAGCCTTCTTCTTCTTCTCCATCTCCTCCTCCAACTCCTTCATCTTCGCCGCCTGCTCCTCTGCGATAGCCTTCAACTTCGCTTGCTTCAGGAGCCCCTTCCTCGCTCTGTTTTCCTTCACTATGGCGGCTATCTTCTCTTTATGCTCCTGGGTATAGGGGCTAGTGCTCGTCCCACCGCGGGTCTCAACCATGGTGATAAGTGCACAACCGGGTAGCGGTTCCAAACCTCACCACGTTGACTCTAACCCCTGACTGACAAACCTACGGACTCAATCTAAGGACTCACAAAATCCTGACAAGGATCCTGTCAACTATGGTCTCTAGCCTAGACCTAACTATGGCTATCACTACTGAACCAGTGGCTGATCTGGAGGCATTTAAGGAGATCCCCCGTAACTCAGCAATAATTTTTTAATGTCGCAGACAGGACGACGTGATCAGCTTGGTTCTACCCGTGCTTTCAGCCCACAACTCAGCCTTTCCGGCCTACTGTGCCACACCGAGCAGCCCGCCGGTCTGTACCGGTCCTTGTGAGGGTTCGTATCCCCCGGGATAGTCGAGTCGTCAGACACAGATCCTCAGCCTTACTTGGTCCGATAGGGGAGTGGTTCAAACAGACCCTCAACACTTAAAGACTGCCTGTTGTGTCAGCCCTAACTGCCGTTCAAGCCCACCATGTCCAGCCGGTCAGCACCGGTCCGTGGGAGGGTTATGCCCCCCTGGACAGTTGGATCTGCCACAGCCTTAGCTCTACAAGGTCAGACTAGGGTTTCGTCATCCAATCCCTATCCTTCATCCACAGCGTGCTATCACTTAGGACAGAAGAGAATCAATGTAGAAAGAATGGAGAGACTGACTGTACTCAGCAAGTACCAAGGGGTATGTGCACATCCATAGGGCAAGGGGTTGGCTGAGGGTTTGGCAAGATGTTACCAACTCCAGCTTGGTCAAAGTCTTGGTCAACGGCCTCGGTCAACATTGCTGTCAACGCTGCGGTCAACCCTCGGTCAACCGCGGTAACGCTGGTCAACACCTCCGGTCCACTCCTCTGGTCAGCCCCCCAGTCAGCTATGGCTGCCGGCTCTTCTTCCTCGCCAATTCCCTTCTTCTTCCTCACCTTCCTCGCTTCCTTCCACCCCGCTGTTTTCTTATTCCTCTTTCTTGTTTTTTTTTATTTTTTATCGGTCTCTTCTTCACATCTTGGCTATGGCCGCTTTCGCTCCCTTCTCGGTCTCTCCCCCTCTGTCCTTCTCCCTCCTACTTCGTCACTCCGTGGTACAGGCTCTGCGGCTATGGCCGCTGTCTTCTCCTTCGTGGACTGCAGAGCGCGCTTCACAGTTAAGTGACAACCAAACTTGTATCGCTCATCTCTCTCTCTCTCTTTCCCTCTCTCTCTCTCTCGCCGTAGCGGTATCTTCTGTGCAGAAGGTACGTGTAACCCAATCTTGTATCGCTCATCTCTCTCTCTCTCTCTCTCTCTCTCTCTCTCTCTCTCTCTCTCTCTCTCTCTCTCTCTCTCTCTCTCTCTC